CACACATATATATATATATATATATATATATATATATGGCAAGTACATACAGTTGTTAATATCTCAATATTTAATTTATATCCACACTAGATAGATTATAATGATAGATAGATAGATAGATAGATAGATAGATAGATAGAAACAGAATGTGATAGATAGATAGATAGATAGATAGATAGATAGATAGATAGATAGATAGATAATGAACAAATCTTTCTTTCCCTCTATCTCTCTCTCTATATATATATACACACACACATATATATATTTATATGTATATATGTATATATATCGCTTGTATATACAGTTGCTAATATCTCAATATTTAATTTATACCCATAATAGATAGATAGATTATAATAATAGATAGATAGATAGATAATGACCATACTGAGATAGATAGATAGATAGATAGATAGATAGATAGATAATGAACAAATCTTTCTTTCCCTCTATCTCTCTCTCTATATATATATACACACACACATATATATATTTATATGTATATATGTATATATATCGCTTGTATATACAGTTGCTAATATCTCAATATTTAATTTATACCCATAATAGATAGATAGATTATAATAATAGATAGATAGATAGATAGATAGATAATGACCATACTGAGATAGATAGATAGATAGATAGATAGATAGATAGATAGATAGATAGATAGATAGATAATGAACTTGCACACATACACAACTATCTCAGTAACAATTCCTGTCTAATGCATTCTCGAGTCTGGCACACGAAACGACACCCTCTCCAGGACAATAAATAAAGAATCTTAAATGACCCACTACCCGAAGGTCGCTTCTTTTATAGCTTCGAAATTGCCATTTATTCAAATCGCAGTAACGTCACCTACCCCCGCCTAAACGCAACCCCTCCTCACCTACACAATTCTGGTAATAATGGCCCTGAAATGTTTCAGCGTTGTTCGATATCCTGAATAAAACGGAGTGAATTACCTTCTCAGAATTCGTTCTCCTTACATTCTTTTTTCTTTTTTTTTTTTTTTTTTCTTTTTTTTTTTTAAATGCCGGTTCCAACGCCAGCAAAAGTCGAAATCATTCACTCCAGTTCCCTGAGAGCTCATTATGAAGGCAACAGTGGTTTAAAGAATTGTTTAAATCAACAAATCGCTTCTATGCTAACTTCATGCAGTATTCATAGTAGCAACGTTTTAAGAAAAAAAATAAAATATATTTTAAGAAATAAACGATGCATTAAACCTTTTTTATATACTTTTCTTTTTTAAATTTACGACGATTCAGTTACCATCAATCGACTTAATAAACAATGCCTCAGATTTACTTAATGACGGACAAAATCGGATGTTGGCAATTCAAATGCATCCTTGAACTGAAGTGGTGGAACTTTCAAACTTAATAAGTAAAGGAAAAAGTAAACTAAACTTTTATAACGTTATATTGCTATAATCATTCTATTTTATTATGTTAATAGCTTTTTGTGCCTAATAAGATCTACAGCAATAACAACTCTTTTAACCGTTATATTATTTTTACTACAGTCTATTGTAGAATTGTTCTATTTTATTATTAGTTATTGTTCTTAATCTCTTATTGTGCCTAATAAGATCTATGCTAAGATCTTTTATCCGTTACATAAATCTGATTAAGGTATTCTGTCATAATTGTTTCATTTTATTAATAGTTTTTGTTAATCTTTTTGTTCTATTTTATTATTACTTAGTGTTATTAATCTCTTATTGGGCCTAATAAGGTCTATGATAAGAACGAATCTTCTATCCGTCACATAACTTTTATTCCAGTACATTGTTATTATGGTTCTATTTTATTATTACTTAGTGTTATTAATCTCTTATTGTGACTAATAAGGTTTACGGTAAGAACGAATCTTTTATCCGTTACATTATTTTTTTAAAGTCTATTTTTATAATTGTTCTATTTTCTTATAAGTTATTGTTCTTAATCTCTTATTGTGCCTAATAAAATCTATGCCAAGATCTTTTATCCGTTACATAAATCTGATTAAGTTTTTCTGTCATAATTGTTTCATTTTATTAATAGTTTTTGTTAATCTTTTATTGCGTCTAATAAGATCTAAATAAGAACTAATCATCTATTGGTCACATCATTTTTATTCCAATATATACTTTTTATCGTTCAGTTTTATTATTAGTTATTTTTGTTAGTCTCTTTTGGGGCCTAATACAATTTACAGTAAGAAGGAATCTTTTATTCGTTAAATTACTTTTATTATAGCATATTGATTTTCTAAGCGTAGCTTTGATGTGGCATCAGGCCGAAGCTATGGGGCACCCAATGAGGATCGAACTCACTACTCAGTCGTAATTGTTCTAGCGAGAAAAGCTTGCTAACCACTATTTCTTGTTGTTCTGTCTACTAAATAGAAGAGCGTGATGGCACATAAGTTAATTATAAGAACTAACCCAAGTATTTTATAATATAAATAGGAAACTATTTCTTGTTGTACGGCGAAAGAGCATGATCGCAAATAATTTCCTTATCAGAACAGAACCAAGTATTTATAATGCAAATGTAGGAAATTATTCATTTATTGTTGTACAGTGTACGGAATGAAAGAGGGTGATCGCAAATTAGTTCGCAAGAATAAAAACCTGATGGTAACAATAAAAATAACGACATATTTTACTATTTCTTGTATTACAGTATACTAAATAGAAGAAAAGCACAATGCTCGGGAATAATTTCCTCATACAAATAAAAATAAGAAGCAAGCGGTAACAGTTACCATATCGTAATATCATTTCGTATTTTACAGTACACTGTGTGGATAGAAAATATGATAGTGAAGTTTTATTTAAAGTATACAATGAAGTTTTAACTGCCAGTATCCATGAAGCGTTTGCAATAATTCAATGTGTAGTGTGTTACTTACTCGCGATGAAGTGTGCTTTCTTTTTCTTTCGTTTATCTCGTATACCGAGAGCTGATCTACCCTTACTGCTTGGGCATTTACATAGTCTACGTCTGTGCTAATTAGACAGTCATTTACATATCACTATATGACGTGCTGTTCAGTCACCACACTGATGTGTATTTAGAAGTTCTTAAGAAAGGTAGTGTTCTTGGTAATTAGTGATTAGTTTTAGTAATTATGAATTAATTAATTAATTATTAATTAATTAGTCTTACGACTAATTACGCTAAACGTATTTTAGAAATCAGCGTCTCTAATTGGACATTTTTTTTCATTCTTCCAGTACAAGAGATTAGAATGTTCTTGCTAGACTCTATCTGTTAGTAAAGAACTACTTTGGAATTTCGGTCTTCGGGGATGTTTGCCACTTAATAACGTTAGAATTTTCACAGGATGTTGCAGTAAATAAAATTGTAAAATTAAATTTAAAGACGTTTTAGAGATTTTTAACAAAATTCAAAACAGTGTTTAAAGTTACTTAAGAAATATTTCTTATTGGCTATTTGTCAGAAGCCAAATCTAAACATTGGCATATTCAGAGGAATTTTAATTACGGCTGCAGAAACGCAAAACAATGGTTTCGAAGAATAACATTTTTCGATCGCTTTGTGCAATATTCTTAACTGAAGCACAAACAGATGATATAAAAAAATAAAAAAAAATAAATGTAGCACAGTTAACAATTTTCGTTTTGTATCTGCCTATATTTCTGAGATGAGGTATTATGTACAGTATTTACATTATTCGGACTATTGTCCACATCTTTGTCGCCATATTTATTACAACGTTTCGGCCCTTCAGTATCTGTCTATATTTGTGAGATGAGGTATTATGTACATTATTTACATTATTCGGTCTATTGACCCCATCTTTGTCGCCATATTTATTACAACGTTTCGGCCATTCAGGATCTGTCTATATTTCTGAGATATTATGTACAGTATTTACATTATTCGGACTATTGTCCCCATCTTTGTCGCCATATTTATTACAACGTTTCGGCCCTTCAGTATCTGTCTATATTTCTGAGATGAGATATTATGTACAGTATTTACATTATTCGGACTATTGTCCCCATCTTTGTCGCCATATTTATTACAACGTTTCGGCCCTTCAGTATCTGTCTATATTTCTGAGATGAGGTATTATGTACAGTATTTACATTATTCGGACTATTGTCCCCATCTTTGTCGCCATATTTATTACAACGTTTCGGCCCTTCAGTATCTGTCTATATTTCTGAGATGAGGTATTATGTACAGTATTTACATTATTCGGACTATTGTCCACATCTTTGTCGCCATATTTATTACAACGTTTCGGCCCTTTAGTATCTGTCTATATTTCTGAGATGAGGTATTATGTACAGTATTTACATTATTCGGACTATTGTCCACATCTTTGTCGCCATATTTATTACAACGTTTCTGCCCTTCAGTATCTGTCTATATTTCTGAGATGAGGTATTATGTACAGTATTTACATTATTCGGACTATTGTCCACATCTTTGTCGCCATATTTATGACAACGTTTCTGCCCTTCAGTATCTGTCTATATTTGTGAGATGAGGTATTATGTACATTATTTACATTATTCGGACTATTGACCCCATCTTTGTCGCCATATTTATTACAACGTTTCGGCCCTTCAGTATCTGTCTATATTTCTGAGATGAGGTATTATGTACATTATTTACATTATTCGGACTATTGTCCTCATCTTTGTCGCCATATTTATTACTACGTTTCGGCCCTTTAGTATCTGTCTATATTTCTGAGATTGAAATATTATGTACATTATTTACATTATTCGGACTATAGTCCTCATCTTTGTTGCCATATTTATTACAACGTTTCGGCCCTTCAGTATCTGTCTATATTTCTGAGATGAGGTATTATGTACACTATTTACATTATTCGGACTATTGTCCTCAAGGACATATGGCACTGTGGATAAAGGCGTTGCTTAGATCCAGTGACTGGGCCCAAAGAGTGTGAGTTCAATACCCGGTTAAAGCAGGGGAGAACTTGGATAGGGAAAATTAACAGGAGACAACTGATAATGACATCCATTAGACATGGCACGTGGAACTAGAACAGCGTGCGAAATAAAGGGTTCAGTTCGACATTCCAACTACATGAAGAAGACCGTAGCGTACAACGGCCGAAATGTTGTAATAAATCTGGCGACAAAGATGAGGACAATAGTTCGAATAATGTTTCGTTTCGTTTAGTTTTCTTGATTTTAAGTTGTAGCTATTTCGTTTGTTGTCGCCATTTTGTATTTTTTTAAATTGGCTGCCAAGTTACGCTACATCTTGTTTTTTTTTTTCGTTTTTATTATAATTTTTTTTTCATTTTGCTTATTTATCTTATTTTTCGAAAATAGTTGGAAAAGATAAAAAAATAACCTAAAAAAATTCAAGAAAGGGTTTTTTTTAATCTTTTCACTCGGACAGTTTCTTTTTTTTTTCATTTTCCAACCTATTTTTTCGTTGCTTACGCGCTCCCATCATGGTATTCTCAACATCCTTCTGTAGAACCACATTTTTATTGCTTTCTGTTTTCTCTTCGCCTGTAAGGAGCTTGTTCAGCATTCACTGCCACATATGAGGACTGACATTATACAGATTTTATCATTGTCTGCTTTCTTTCTTTCTATGGAAATCTTCTTGTTTCGTAAAGCTTGACTTAGCTTCTGGAAGACTTCTTTCGCTAGTCAGAGGCGCTTTCGTATTGGGTTGGTGCATAATTATCAGGCGTTTTTGTAGGCTACTTATTTGTTAAGAAAAATTGTTGTTTTGTTTACTTTTTTTATTAAAAATAATTTTATTTTCAGGTTATAAAAATGCGTGTCGATAATCATACGCTCTGGAATAATCATTTGAAAATGTTATTGTTGAATTGTTATGTTTCTTTTTTTATAATAAATATTGTTTAAAAAAAAAACGCTTGATAATTATGCACCAAGCCAGTAATTCGATAACACGTATTTCGTCCTTTGTAAGAACACTTCCCAGAAAGTTAAATATCTGTACGTGCATTATTCTGATACCATTAATATATTGCTTGAATTTAGTGCTGTTCACTTTTTTTTTGTCGTATGTTAGGTCCATAGCATGGCGTTCTATACTCCAAGCCAAGTCATGGCGCAACTGAGAGCCAGAACTGGAGGCCTATTGAAAAATGTAGGATTTTCAGAAATTTTAGAAGAAAATGAAGTCAACCACTTTATGAAATACTTAGAATAACATTTTTATTCACACCTGAGGATAATAGGATGTGTTGAAAGATAAATAAATGAAAATATGTATTTTTGCTATGAACACTGATAATTATTAAACAACACAAAGGGGTAATTATGATTTCTGGTAAAAGATGTATTGAATCAGAAATTTATATTATTTACAGGTGTCACTGAATCCTTTATTCAATCTATTCCCTGTGAGTGAATAAAGACTTTGGTTTAAATTTACATTACAGTTACTGGGTTTGACAAACAGAACCCAAGAAGGCTGGAAGACATCAGCCGAAGTGTGTATGTAACAATCATTCATCACAGAAATATAGACAAATAAAACAAAATAATTCTAGGAAAGTTTCAAAACTTTTAGAGCTGGTTCTTTTTCTGATCTAGGTGTGCCATGTTTGCAAAAATTTTTCAAAACTATATTTGCAAAAATAGAAGCATGCTTTTTTCTCCATGTTGAAAAAATGAAACTCAGAAATAAGCATAAAATGTTACTTAATGATTTATAGCAAACCTTTTCCTTTATTGTATGGAAAAGGATGAAACAAAAAATAACCATTGACAAGTGTGGTCAGAAGGAAATTTTAGTTTTCCACGGTCAATTAAATTGGTATATTTTCCATACTTTGCACATTCACTGGGTTGATTATCATTTCTTGTAATATATCCAGCTATGTACACAAGAGCCATTTTTATTTGATTGGAAAGAGATAGTTCTAAATTTTCCAGATTGTCAAATATTTCTGAACCTTCCTCACAAAGTTTATAATCACAAGATGTACATTGGTAACCTGGATTAACATCAAATTCACCAATATTTACATTTTGATTTAAAGTAAAGATGTCTGCTTAATATGCAGCTTTTCAATACGTTGTTGAACATTTATAAAATAGGTGCCACCTGATCCTTGGCGAAGTTTACCAAATTCTTTTTCTAATGGATCAGTTGAAAATTGCCCAAGTAGTACATATTTATGACTTGTAGCTAAAAGGTGTCGACATAGAGTAACAATTCCATTGCAAATATGATGTATGGCAGTAGCAGTGTTTTGGGATAATTGTTTTTTACGATTACCTTGACTGCCAGCCATATTAAGAGCCATTTTACCAAATTCAATGATAAAATCAAGTTGGGTGTCATTTGGAGATTTGATTTCAGCTTGTAGAGGATCATTATGTAATTTATCAATTTGAAGGCATTTAACATTTAAAATTTTCCACCATGTCAAAACCTTGTTTATGAAGAGGGCAGTATCATTCTTACCTGCACTTATTTCAGACTGAGTGAAAAGTGC